AAAAGTACCAAATGAGCTGGTCAAACATTTGTACAACTTTTCCAGCTTTTACAAAGAAGGCCTTCTATACACAATCTACACTTGGAGATGAACTTGGAAAACAAAGAGGGGAGAGTCCATTGAAACTCACACTTTAGCTTTGCACAGACAAAGCTTCAGCTAGCAGCAGCTTGATGTGAACAAAAGAAGGCAACCTTTTTATAATTCAAGGAGAAAAGAAGAGAAAACAGCCCCACAAAAGGCCGAGAAAAGACATTATGGGCTTGCAATGAGGGATGAATTATTCAATGAGCCCCAATAGCCAATGCTTCGAGCAGTTTTATGGACTCTCCACCGTGGAAAAAGTGGCTATTTTCACCTACAAAATGTTTCTAGCCTTTCTAGACATCTAGAGATGCCGACTGCCATTCAAGAAGGACAACTGCCATTCTTTAAAACTATAGTATCCCTCTGTATTGTAAAAACAAAACAAAACAAAAAACCTCTAAACTAGGACTCTAACTCAGTGTTACTAGGGCTTTCAGGGAAGCTTCATCGTGTGTGTGTGTGTGTGTGTACATACATACACACTGAAAAATGCTAGGGGATTCATAGATTTTAAGGCCAGAAGGGACCATTCTGATTATGTAGTCTGACTTCCTTTATAATGGAGGGTGCAGAATTTTACCCAGTAATTCCTTCAGGCCAGGACTGGGCAAGCAATGGCTAAAACCAATGTCCAAGATTTAAAAAAAAAAACCCTTGTTGTTTTGGGTGACTTGGGTTTCTGAGTGCCCAGCTTGAGACACTTTAAAGGTGCCTACTTTTCAGAAAGTGCCACGCACTTTTGAAAATATTCAGTGTGGCTCAAGTTGGACACACAAAAACGGAAGCGCCCCAAATCACTCGTCATTTTTGAAAATCTGGGCAAATATGTCCAGAGAGTTTATCTTAACTGGCCAAGCACTGATATTTAAAAAAGATAAAACAGGAAGTCTAGCTAGTATCCCCGATCCAGTCAACAACACCTATTACATGGATGGAGATCACGATCTGATTAAAAAATCAAACCCCCACAACTCAACTCCAGCTCAGAATTCTCTTGGTGCTCTTTCACACCCTGTTGCTTGAAGCTTAGGCTTTAGCCCCAGTGTTGGCCTGAGCCAAAGTTTCAGTGATATTTCACAGAGTCAGGGAGAACTAACAACCTGGATCTCAAAGGAAACAGAGGGATCTTTGGGGAAAATAAATCGTCATTGCCAGTGCTGTTGTCATTCATGTCAATATTTAATATGGATATTTTTTAAAATGAAGTTATCTTAGATTATTTTGGGTAGAGAGGCTTGATGCTGAGAGGGTGCTGCTCTGAACTCCTTTAGCTTCCGCTGACATGAATGACCCACGGTGCCTATTACCAATGAAGCCGCTGGCAAAACTCCCGTTTATTTAAATGGTGCAGGATTGGGTACAAGGGCTTCACTGGACGTCAAGGCCACACAACTCTTTGCAGGATCAGGGCTTTTGAAATGTGTCTTTTAAGTTCCTGGTAAGAGTTGGTTATCCCATGGAAATGAAACTCTTCATTACAATAAGTCATCCTCCCATCCTCCCTTGTGTCCTTCTGCCACTCAATATTATTATAGAAGTGGCAGAGATGCTGGGAAGGTGAGATCAAGAAGAGATTTGTTAGCACAAATGTTAGTGCGGGCAGGGTATTATAGAGAGAATTTTTTGGAGAATATAATTTAAAATGCACTGCTCCTTTACATATCTGGCCTGTAATCAAGATTCTGCTTCAAAACTCATTGACATCAGCAGGGCCATGATTTCACCCAGAATCTGTATTTAAGGTTAAAAACATCATCAGATCCTGCTCTTTTTATTCACACAATGCCTGATTCTGCACCCATTAAAGTAATTGGTAAAGCTCCCAGTAACTTCAGTGGTGCAGGGTCATGCTTGCAGGTATCCCATTGACTTAAATCTGAGGACTGTGAATTATGAAAGCAGGATTTGGCCTCATACAGCCATCTAAATAGAGAATACATGGTGGTATAGGTTACAGGGTTTATTGTCATGAGTTTGGGCTGGGTTTGTTGCTCACAAATGGTGAAGCCACACATGATTTTTATGGGTTGTCACAAACAAGTGCCAATCAAAGCTTACCATTGCACCACACCATCATATATTCTGTACGGGTAGTGTGGTACATACTTTGCAGGGTGGGGGGTACTCTTTTAGGAATGTTTTGAAGAGTTTTATACAATGCTATTACTATTTTTCATAGCCCTGGCCCTACAGAGCCAGGTTACCTTAATACCATGAGTGCAGGATTCAGAGAGAAAAAAATCTGACTAATACACTCCAGAAACCTTTAGAATTACCTATAATAGAGATGCAAACAAATGATGCATCCCTCTGGAGACTAGCAATCTCCTCTTTCCAATGCTAGCACTCTGTTCAATTAGAAGGTATCAGACTTTTAGCTCATCTCTGATCCATTTTGCACCTCAGTCTTGTATGATTTAGGGGGGGAAATTCCTCATTTGAAAGAAAGAAAGAAAGAAAGAAACCAACATTTTGGTTTTGGTTTTGATGGCAGCTGTTTAAAGCTGCTCAGAGATTTGTGATGTTAGAAGTAGTCCTGGCAGAGCTGGATGAAGGGAAGAGTGCAGATAAAGTGTGCAAAAGTGCTTGATAAATATAGTATATCATATGGCCTAGCAATTTATCACATAGATGTAAACACCACATATATAATTGTAATATAAACACAAATCTGTAATATAGAAATACATCATATCTATATCTGGCTATATTTCTATTTTGATTATAGATACTTAGATCTTGACACATCCACTACATTAAGACTTAGTCCTGCCACGCAGGCCGGGGACTGGACTAGATGACCTCTCAAGGGCCCTTCCTGTCCTATAATTTTATGATTGCTATAGCTATATCTTTCTCTAAATATATAAAGGTATAGGCAACTTTTTATTGGGGGGAAGGGCTAGAGTTAAAAATAATAAAATAATAGTTGTTGACTACATCTTTAATCAGTGGTTTTGTAAATTTGTCTACTTTAAGTAAGTGAGATGAATGACCTTCTGTTCCAGTGTTTCTTTTATTTATTAATGCAATCCCTAAATTTTTGGGGGACTAAAGTCCCCCCAAGCTTCCAGTTGTCTATGCCC